GGGAAAGAGCTTCATAAAGACATCGGAAAAAACGGAAGTCATCCTTTGAACAGGGTTCGTGTTCTTCTTCTGTTCTGATCATGTTCTCGTCGTGTAAGTCTTCGGTTCTGTGTTAAAGTTTAACTTGTGTTGTCTAAGTGGGAATCCATTGTCTTGTTGCTCTTGAAGGATTTGGTTTCCTAAAGAACTGTTTGTGTAAATAACATGTGAATTCGTGGTACGATCTCCCCATCTGTTTGCTCTTACATCATCTTATCCATTGTTCATGTTCTTGTGATTGTTCATCAGGTTTTTGAGGTTTATGTTTCTGTTTCTCTTGTAATTTTCCTTTTTCTTTTTTTTTTATCCAAACTACAATATTTATAGGGATGACGTATAACTAGATTAAGGCAACCATGACATTATGCATAATTTCATCAACATTGAATCCTTGATTTATATATATGTCACATTAAGACATTTACCATATAAACATAACTTGCGCTGGCCTCAGTTTAAGTGTTTTTCAAAGAATACATACAATGCAATGCATACATTCTTATATTGCATGGCCATGCATTTGCACAATGGATGGATTATATATTAACGTCCTGTGACTGCAGTCAGGCTTACGTTGTTAATGGATGCTTTCTGGTCACTTTGCTCGGAGGATTCACCCTCTGAAGCTCCCCGTCTCGTTATAAACGCTGGCTGCTTCGGGTCAGAGAGGTCCGCGTTCTCGTTCCCGAGCATCCAAATCACCGTCGAGACGTTCGGCCTGTCGTTCGCAACTTCTTGCACGCACAAAAGTCCTATCTGCACGCATCTCCGTATCTCCTTCTCGAATCTCTCCTCGTAGATTTCGGGATCCGCAAGTGCGGTTGCCTCTCCGTCGTTCCACAACTTCCACGCCTGTAAAAAGGCGGCCGAAATTCGGGTAAAGCTATGAATGGTTAAAGACGGGATCTTATACAAGAGACTCGGGTTAAGCAAAAGACTTTACATGAGCTAAAAGGTTCGAGGCTTTCTCGTCTTTGTGAAAGCTCGAGTTTCTTCTCCCGCTGATAATCTCCAACAGTATGACCCCTAAGCTGAAAACGTCGGATTTCTCTGAAAACAGCCCTTCCATTGCGTATTCGGGTGACATGTATCCGCTGCAAAAACAGAAATTTCTGTTGGTTATAACCTGAAAGTCATTGAACAACGTCAATAAAAGATGGAGGATGAGGTAACTTACTAGGTTCCGACAACTCTTCGGGTGTTGGCTTCATCTTCGTTACCTCGGAAAACCCTCGCAAGCCCGAAATCCGAGATTTTCGGGTTCATATGTTCGTCTAACAAGATATTACTTGCCTTTAGATCTCTGTGTATGATCCTCAGCCTGGAATCTCTGTGAAGATACAAGAGACCTCTGCAAATTCCTTCCATTATGCTGAATCGTGTCTTCCAATCAAGAAGCATCTGCTTCTTCATATCTGGATCACACAGAATATAACACCAAAGTCTTTTAACGACTGAATTTAAACCGAAACCCGAAATGGTGACCTTAAAAAATCAGATTGAACTGAGTTAAGTGAACAATGAAGTTACTGAAAAGGTAAGAGTCGAGGCTTTTCTTTGGCATGAACTCATAAACCAACATCCTTTCTTCTCCTTCGATGCAGCAGCCAAGCAATCTCACCAGATTCCGGTGTTGCAGCTTCGAAATCACGACCACCTCGTTCATGAGTTCTTCCAGTCCTTGCCCCGATGCCCGTGAGAGTCTCTTCACAGCGATCTCCTGCCCCTCGGGTAACTTTCCCTGAAACCCTCAAGTACCTAAGTTTTAGGATTTACGGTTTTGGGTTTTGGGTTATAAACATGTTTCTCTAACCTTGTAAACAGGACCGAATCCTCCTTGCCCGAGCTTATTCGTGATAGCGAAATTGTCAGTAGCTGAAGCTAATACTTGAAACTCGAATAGAGGTAACTCTTTCAGCTTGGCTTGGTTCATAAGGTTGGCTCTAGCATTCACGTTACCGCTTGTAAGTGCTTCCATTCTCTCGAACAGCAGCTTTGCATCACTGTCTTTCTCCGCTGCTTTTACATAATCAGATTGAAAACATCATTAGAGGCGGTCTTACGATTAAGTGTATGATCTGTGAAACTCGTACCTTTAGGCTTGGCAGTGATCTTCCGACATGCTAAGAGAAAGCAGACGACAAGAGTAAAGACACCTCCAATTACAGAGACAGCGACTATAACTGGTTGATAGTTCGGTTTTTCTGTCATAGGTATTGCGAAAAACCATTTCTGATTAGTAAGAAACCGGGTGGAAATCAAGAAAAGAAAAGAAAACAAGCTGTAGAAATGCTCACTGAATTCTGAATTTGCGAGACGGATATTGAGATCGATGCCGCTGCCCAAGAAAGCTTGCATGTCAAGTAAGCTTCCATTCCAAAGCATGCAGCCGATTCCTCTGTCATAAGCGTAAGCCGTACAAGAACAGCTCTGCAGACAAATCTTGGGGCAGGTTTGCTCGTTGGCCTCGGACCGAAGTGCTGAGATGGGCACTTTCATCTTCTGCAGTTTCAGAAACTTATCCGCTTTGCCTCCACGACGGCTTCCGTCGTTTTGTCCTTCGCACTGTAACGGGACCCTTCTCTTGCATCCATTGGTCCAGTTCCCGCTGTTCCACTCCGTCGCGTTTCTCGCCTCGAATCCTTTAACGCATCTGCAAGGTGGGTTATCTCTGTTGCTGCAGCTCGCGAACTGGCCGCATTTACTGTAAGAATCGCAGTTCGTGGATGGAAACTTTACCCCGATCCTCCAATCTTGCTTATCTTTGCTCCAATCCTTCTGGAAGATGTTTCCTTCTGAATCCAAGTTGAAATGGTACATGAAGGAGTTGTTTGCATACGACATGGTCACAGTTCCTTGATTATCGTTGTTTAGGTTAAACCCGTCAAGAAATAGCAGCGACTCCATATCCGGTAAACCGATGAAGACTTGACCATTCCACGGGCCGCTTCGCCATACGGGGACCTCGTTTTTCCAGATGAGAAGCTCTGGAAAGGTAAGAGGCTCGACACCTGCGGTGTAGATTCCGACGGATGGGTCAGAAGGGCTTTTCCAAGATGTGAGCTTTATGTTCGATCTCGTTTTCGCGTCGGTTCCGAGGGTCATTCTCGGTAAGAACGAATCGTAAGGATGCTTGAAACTCTCCCACAAGATCTCGCCATTGTTTCTGTTATCTTGCAGCACAAGGTTCCCTGTATCTTGGAGCTGAACCCAAGTGGCATTACCGGAAACCGGAACAGTGACGTTCGTGGACCAGAGAACGCGTTTTCGACCATCCGTGACGACCAAATTCCCGTCTTCGGACATGGAAACAACGCCGGAAGAGTCGTTGACGGGTATGTTCTTGTTTGCCACCCAAACAACAGTTTGCTTAGGAATCTTGTCGTACCAGATCCCGACGTAACGACTTGCGGAATTACCTGGGCTGAAGAAACCGAACCTGAAGGTTCCATCGTTGGAGACGAGGGAATCCGAATCAGAATCTTTGATCTGGGTCGAGGACGTGATCGTGTCCTTGGAGAAACAGAGAGGAAAAGAGAAGCAAAACAGAACAAGAACAAGAAGAGAAGGAGACATGATCGTGACGAAGCTGTCAGAAGAGAGAGACTCAGAATCAATGTATGGTTTCAGATTCTCTCTCTGCAATGTCTGGAGACAGAGAAAGTGGAGAGATATTTTCAGTGGGAAGACTATGAAGAAGGTGACGCGACGTTTGTCAATGGAGTCTTCGTCTCGTCGTACGAAGTGGGTAAGTGGAATAATTGCCAAAAAAAAAAAAAAACAATCAGAGGGGCACCATTATTGACTTTTCTTGCTGTAGTAGTTAAAGTGAGAGACAGTTGCAGAAAGCAAGTTGGATTTTATTTGGGAAACTTCGGTTTAGCCATCGGTAATTACATTCAGTTATAAATATAAATACCTAATTAATTCAATGCAATGGGAAAAAATTTATCATTTTAATATACTAAATTTCTAATTATAATTGTAAAACTTTAAATTTCTATATAACCGTTAATTTGTTCAATGAATCTTAAATTACGATTGATCATATATGCGTCAATATATATTATAATTTCATCAAATAATTATACATTTTAAAAATAAAATATATAAGCTTATGATAGGCCCGTGCCTTGAATTTATTGGCTTATTATTCCAAAAAGTTTCCTTGAAAATGCGATATTTTCCATATACATGAATACAAACGAAATATCCAAGTTGCATCCTTTACTTTTCCAACTTGCATAGCAAATGTTTTGTTCTCCTTTTTTTTTTTCTCCACCTCATTGGCCACTCAGGCGACACGTCATTACCGTCTCGTCGTGCCACGTCAGATGATGACTCATACGTTACGTCATAGATTTGCAAGAAATGATGACACGGTGACCGAAGTGACGTGGCGTATGAGTCATCGTAAATGTTCCTCAACGAAACATGGAATCAAGGCGTCCGAACATAAGTTCTATCTCCGCAAGAGGAATTGTTCTATCAGTTCTTCGAGACAAGATTTTGTTCTTACATTCAAATCTGAAAGAAATCTTCCGACACTTAAAACTGCGGATTGGTAGAAAGAAGGGTTTTGTTTTATTTCCTTATATATATATATATATATATTCTCCTCTGAAACTCTGAGAGCTTCCATGGTTGTAATCTTGCGAGAGCTAGGGTTCATCAGTGCAAATGATTCACGGATTCATCGGTATGATCTGTTTCAAGAATTTCAATCCTCGTATATATATATATATATATATATATATATATGTATTGTGGGTCGGTAACTGATGAAGAAGAAGAAGGGAAACTTCGTCACGTCACGTTTTCGTTTTGAGGTTAGTATTTTGTCAAAACATTGACGTCAAATACTAAAACCAGAAAATCTTGATGCATTGCATGGACCGGCATGTCTCAGCCCCTGAAAAAAAAAACAAAAGATTAAGCATTTTTATTCATCGGTTGATGTTTCATGAGCGTTGAAACTTTATATTTGCATCATAATTTCAAACGATAATCGATTACCAATACGAAATATAAAACTTCGGAAATGTCAAAGTCTACATCTCCCCTCGTTGCAAATTCACCAGATTAGTCAAAGTTATTATACACAAATATCATTGCAATACAAAAGACCGCAACCTAAAAACGGGCGCATCGCCCTTTCCAATTACGGTATTACACGTAAGACAATATTATATGAACAAACACAGTTCAAAGGTATTCCTTTCGAGTTCATAAAAAGAATCATGAATACTTTCATTCTTCTTCTTCTTCTTCTTCTTTCAAGTTCTTGCTTTGCAGTGGACAGGATCACGTTCTCTACTCCGATCAAAGATTCGGAAACTATAGTCTCCGACAAAGGAATGTTCATGTTCGGTTTCTTCAGCCCTGTCGATTCCACGGGCAGATATGCCGGAATTTGGTACAACAACATTCCTGTACAAACAGTTGTGTGGGTTGCAAACAAAGACAACCCCGTCGAAGACATGTCTGGAGTTGTTTCAATGTCTGAAGATGGTAATCTCGTGGTTATGGACGGTCGGAGACGGGTTTTCTGGTCAACCAACGTCTCGGTATCAGCCTCTGCAAATTCCACCTGGGCTCAGCTTCTCGATACAGGGAACCTTGTGTTGCAAGGCACCGAAAACGACGGTGAATTCTTCTGGGAGAGCTTCAGGAACCCTAGCGATTCCTACTTGCCGAGAATGGTGCTTGAATCAGACGCGAGAACAGGAAGAACCATCAAGATCACTTCCTGGAAAAGCCCTTCTGATCCTTCCCCCGGAAACTATACGGCAGGTCTTGCTGCTGATCCGCTTCCAGAAGTTTTCATCTGGAAAGATGGTGTTGCCGTGTGGCGAACTGGCCCGTGGAATGGTCAGATATTCATCGGTTTTCCGGATGTGGATACGGGTCTTTTCCTCAATGAATTCGCCCTTAACAATGACAATCAAGGAAAGGTATCTGTTTCATATGCCAATGATTCGGGTAAGTATCATTTCAAGCTGGATCATGAAGGGTATATATCTCAGAAATCTTGGAACGAAGAGAAGAAGAATTGGAGCGTTGAGTTAAAGCTTCCAAAAACCGAGTGTGATGAATTCGGTAAATGTGGCCAGTTCGCGAGCTGCAACCCTCGGAGGAAACCCTTGTGCAGATGCATTAAAGGGTTTGAACCAAAGAACTATACAGAGTGGAATAGAGGAAACTGGACTAGTGGATGCAGACGGAGGGCTCCTTTGAAATGCGAAAGACGAAACAACGGGAATGGTAATGGAGGGGAAGAAGACGGATTTCTGCGTCTGAAGAAGATGAAAGCTCCAAACTCTACGCAGAGATCTGACGCTAACGAACAAGAATGCCCGAGAAGTTGTTTGCAGAACTGTTCTTGTACAGCTTACACATTCGACAGAGGATATGGATGCATGTTCTGGACAGGAAGCTTATTCGACATGCAGGAATTTCGGGTTAACGGCATTGATCTTCAAATCCGTCTCGCTAATTCAGAAATCAGTAAGTATAATCTTTGGAATTATACAGTTTTCAACGTCACCTGTAGGTTTTTCTAATGGATTTGCCTTTCTCCTCATAGAAAAACCGAACAAACTGCCAGTTGTGGTAACAATACCAGTGATTGGCGGCACATTTATCATCGTCTTCTGCATTCTTTTCGCGAGGAGGAAAGCTACAAAGCGTAGAGGTCAGAGTTCCATCAATGGTGTTGGATCCATATTTTGCATAGACTGAACTGTTACTTTTGATTGTGCCTTTGATTCCATCACTGGTTTTACTCTGTGACTCACCAGAGGCCGAGAAAGATAGAAAAGCGAAGCTGGTATTTGAGAGAATGGAAGCGTTTTCGTCGGGTAATCCAACTCAGGCTCACCTTATAAATCAAGCTAAGCTGAAAGATCTTCCACTATTCGAGTTTCAAGTTCTAGCTGCAGCTACCGACGATTTCGCCCTCGCGAATAAGATCGGTCAAGGAGGCTTCGGTCCCGTTTACAAGGTAAGAATGTACATTTTCAACTTGCATATATCAAGTGATACATATGCATATATATATAACTTATCGATACTTATGTTTCAGGGGAAAATGGAAGAAGGGCAAGAAATAGCAGTGAAGAGGCTCTCACGGGCATCAGGGCAAGGACTCGAGGAACTCGTGAACGAGGTGGTGGTGATTTCTAAACTGCAACACCGGAATCTGGTGAGGTTGCTCGGCTGCTGCATCGAAGGAGAAGAAAGACTGTTAGTTTATGAGTTCATGCCAAAGAAAAGCCTCGACTCCTATCTTTTCGGTAAGTCAAACTGTTCTTGGAGTTAAGAGGTTGGTCTATAACAGAAGCTAATGTTCGGTTTTTTTGGCATATAGATCCGTTGAAGCAGAAACTTCTTCACTGGAAGACACGATTTCGCATAATGGAAGGAATTTGCAGAGGCCTGTTGTATCTTCACCGAGATTCAAGACTGAGGATCATACACAGGGATCTGAAACCGAGCAACATCTTGTTAGATGAACATCTGAATCCGAAGATATCTGATTTCGGGCTAGCTAGGATTTTCCATGGGAATGAAGATGAAGCAGCCAATACCAGAAGGGTTGTTGGAACTTAGTAAGTAAATTCCATTCCAACAACATATACATCGATCTCTTCCACAATGATCCGCTATAAACAAGAAATAAACCCTTCATTATGCAACAGCGGATATATGTCACCTGAATACGCAATGGAAGGGCTATTTTCGGAGAAATCCGATGTTTTCAGCTTAGGGGTCATACTGTTAGAGATTATCAGCGGAAGAAGAAGCTCGAGTTTCCACAAAGACGAGGAGACCACGAACCTCTTGGCGTATGTAAGTCTGAAACTCATCGGTACCGAGATTATGTTCTGTGATACCGAGCGTTTTTCTCAGCCTTAAAGGTAGATCTTTTCAGGCATGGAAGCTTTGGAATGAAGGGAAAGCTTCTGAACTAGCTGATCCTGCCGTCTATGATGAGGGTTTCGAAAAGGAAATACGTAGATGCGTGCATATATCGCTGCTGTGCGTGCAAGAACTCGCGAACGACAGGCCAAGCGTTTCGACAGTGATTTGGATGCTAAGTAACGAGAATTCGGATCTTCCTGAGCCGAAACAGCCTGCTTTTATCGCAAGAAAAGGTGTTTCGGACGCTGAATCCTCTGACAGGAGTTCCAGAAAAGCCTCTATCAACAATGCCAGCATCACTGCTGTCACAGGACGTTAAATACCGCAGATACCATACCATGTATTGCCTATTGTAAAGACTTACTGAACACATACATACATACATATATATATGTACGTATATATGTATATATATCATGTATTTCTTGAGATTCAAAGATTGAATTATGTATCTAACTCTTTGGATTCAAGAGCAAGAGATACGTTTCTTACAAAATTTGAATGGACACTAAAACAAGTACTACTGCTACTCCAATCTGAACAAATCTGATCTTACAGTTCTGTTTAGTTCCTGTGACATGGTGTCTGACTCATTATCTGACGTGGCTAAATCACGATGACGTGTCACTTTACTTGGATTTTAAATAATATAAATGATATAGATTTTTTTCGAACATAAATTAATTAACGATATTAATGTTCATAAAAAATGTTTGAGAGTGTCTTAAACTCGTAAATTTATTAGTAGTTTTAAAAAAGTCTGTGTATATATTTAGAAATTACAAAATTTATATATATATATATATATATGGTAATTTGTATAGTATAGGCCCAAACCCAAAATTGAAATCGGGCAGTATAGGCTTTTCTCCTATGTATGCTTATTTTATGTGATATTTTCATGATTTGTTATAATATTGACAAGGAATAATTCTATATGACTAAAATTAATTGGAGGGACACGCAAGTGTGTGTGTGTGTATATATTGTTGGGTGTATGTATGGATTTGGGAATGATAGAGTTGTCACAAAGCCAACACTAAGTGTTATTCATATATCATATGCCACCAAAGCACATGGCCCCCCAAATCTCACTGCCAAGCTACGTTGTTTGAGCACTAAATATTGAAAATCGCAATAACAGAAAATAAGATTAATGAAATCCACAAGACCAACGTATTCATATCATAAAATACAAGTTTCATCTCTTAATACACAATACGTACGGGCAAGTGAACGAGTGAATGGTTGTGATTCTATATTGAAAGAATCTTTATATAATGCAATGTGTATGTGATAGAAATTAGAGCATATAATTAGTATGAAGATAACCAAATTTGGAGATGACCCTTTGTTTTCTCTCAAACACCTAACCAAAAAAATATTATTATTTTCAATATTTTTTTTATGGATTTATTTATAAATAAATTCACTAACTACCACAAAACCCATAATTCGAATTTGTATCCAAAAAGTGAAAAAATATAGGAAAAAGAAGACCATTAAATACACGTGAGATTAAAATCAAAAGATCCTATATTTACAATAGATTTAAGAGCAAATTATGGGGATTTGAAAGAGGTGAGATATTTTTTTTATTGTTTATTTGTTTATTTTATTCATTCGATGCATCACTGTCATTATCTCTGTCCATATAATGGTGATAGGAGATGGGTGAGAGACCACTCAAAGATCTCCCACTCTTCACATGTCTCTTTGGTTTTGTTCCATTCTTCTCCATGTCTGCACTTAGAGCTCCAACTTCCAACCATTAAGATCATAATCCCCACAATTTGGATTCTTTTTTTTTTATTGATCATCCTCTAAATTTGAAACCAACATTATACTTTTTTCGTAATTTCCTAAAAACCCACTTAATTACAACAAAGAATGGATAATGGCTTTGGTCATAATAAAAAAAACATGGTTAAACACCCAAACACACTGCAGCTTCTTAGAAGAATCTAGGACTGGCACGGGTAGGGTACCCGCAATTTTGGAGATATCTTTCTTCGTCTTCGCGGGTTTCATGAAAACAAAATCTCGTCCTCTATCTCATTAACACTAGGTACCCGTCGACCGGATACTCATACCCGTAAAATATTTTTTTAAAAAAATAAATATAAACTAAATATTTAGTAAAATTATATTATTTAATTTAAATCTAATATTTAAATAAATAATTTTAAAAATATAAAAATATTTAATCATTTTAATATATTTACGGGTATCCGTGTATCCGTCTTGAGAAAATGAAACTTGTATCCGTCTTCGTCTTCATCTTACAGTACCCGTCTTCGTCTTCATTTAATGTCGAGTATCCGTTTTTCGGAGATCCATGAGACTAGGTACCCGCAAACCTGCGGATATCGGATTTAAATGGCCAGTCCTAGAAGAATCTCAATACTAAAGACAGCTTTTTTGCAAGATCCCCACTTCAAGTCTTCGTTTGCATTTCAAGTTCAACCATTTTTTTTTCATAAAAAAAATAAAAAGGAGAGAGGAGACAAAAGATGTTATAAAGATATGTATAGGAGAAGTGGAAATCGGAGGCCACATGGGATTAGAATTCATAGACAAGAAAACTACCATCAACACCTTTCCAAAAATATACACTCAAAAATTTCACAAATAAAAGTTAAAAAAGAAAAAAGAAAAAATCTTTTAGGAATGCCAGAGACCGCTCAATATGCTGCGGAATCTGTTCTTGGAGAGCTTCTTGACAAGTTTCTTAGCATCCGAACCTTCTGTTTCAGCTAGTTTCTCTATGCTTTTCAAGTACCCTGAAGCCGCAATCTTCCTTCTTGCACTATTGCAGCTTGTCAAAGACATCAATATAGATATCAATAACTTCTTGTTACCCGAATCGTTACTACTCTCGTTAGGCCCTTCTCCCCGACCAAGCAACTGCAGAATGCAGCCCATGCTTCGGTCATCCTGCGAGAACTTCTTCCTGTTCTTTGGGACCGAAATCAAATTGTACAATGCCTCACTTGCCATTTCTCGAATGTCCATTGATTTCGCACCGAGAAATCTAACAAGCTCGGGCATGAAACCTGCATCGCCCATTATCCTTCTGACCTCTTCCTGTAAACTACAGAGCCTGGAAGTGACCTTTAAGGCGGATTCTTGAACAGAAATCTCCCCATTCTTTAGAAGATAGAGAATATGATCCAAGAACAGGCTATTCATGAGTGCATTCAAACAACAAACAGACCCAAAACACAGATTCTCAATGGCCCTCAATGCCATTTCCTTAGATTTCGAAGAGGACGGTGAATTAGGATCGGATACACGCACTAGTTCGATGATTCCTCCTTCCCTAACCAAGTTTTCGCGGGTTTGTTCGTCTTTAGAACATATACTCAGCAAGAGATCGATAGAATTTACCTGAACGATCTCGGCTTTTGATCCTATAAGCTTGATGAACGTGGAAACCGTGCCTTCTTCGATCATATACCTCTTCATTTCTTCAACGCCAACGAGATTCCTCAACACGCCACAAACACTAGCGATCAATTCACCATTAGATTCACCGCAAGAACAGATCTTTAACAATGCAGTGACGCCACCATGAGCAGAAAAAGACCAAGCATTATCCGAGTTATCGGTTAATTTCTTCAAACACCTTGCGGACGCTTCTTTGCCACACTCATTTCCATTCTCCAAGACTCTCACCAACGGACCAATCACTCCTGAACGAATCAACACAGATTTGTACGAACCATACCCAGAAATAAACAACACAGCTTTCGCTGCTTCTTCTTGAATCCCCGTCTCGGAATCCAGAAACCCAACAAGAACACTCACCATATCGCTAATCTCGATCACTATCTTCGCATACTTATCATCCTCTTCCATGGCTTCGTTCAGTTTGATCAAAGCTTGCTTCTTCATCTCCAAATCCCCAACTTTCATCCTCGTAAGCAAATCTCTGATGTAAAACCTCATGTCGTCCTTGCAAGCATTAGCACTAGGCTTGGACACAACGATTGCGAACCCATGACTCAGAATCCCAGCAGAGTAAATCCGAGCGAGATTCTTCGCATGGCGGTCGAATTTCCCCGACATGACATCCAAATCGCTCTGCATCAGAAGCTTCCCACTGTAAGAAACGTTCAAACACCGCGACGCGAGGTCGTGGCACTCCTCGAGAGAACCCAAAACGTCAGCAACCAGGCTTGAGAGAGATGGGTTGAAGCTCGAATCGAGATTCTCGACGGCGGTGAGCCCAGAGTAAAGCTCCTCGAGCTTGCTCCGAACCAGCTGCCATTTCACAGAGAAGGGTTTGATGGAGTGAGAAAGAGAGATCAAAGAAGAAATCGATTCGATTGCTTTACCAATACTGGGCTTCGATTCCTCTGAATCTTCTCCCATTTCCTGGGGTAAGGACTGTATTTCAGAGATTTTGAATCAAACCCATCTCCAATTTCTCCTCAGAAACGACGATTTCGCTCCTACCAAAAGGGAAAAAGAGAAGATTGATATGAAGACTTCGGAGAGAATCTAGTGTGATTACATTTATTGTTCATCGGTTTCCTGTAGGGGGGGGGGGGGGGGGG